CCTCAGCGCTCAGGCTGTGCAGCGGGAGCCTCGCCAGTGTGCCCCCTGCTCAGCAGCTCAGATGCCAAAGGAGCCCACAAAAACCATGAAGCTTGTTTGGATCTGGAGCTGTCTTGAAGATGTCTTTCTGCGCGAGTTTTCGAACACCACCGCACTGCTCTGTGCACCAGCGTGTCCTACACACCCCGAAACTGCTTCCGTGAGCGTTTGGAGCAGAGCACACTGTGCCTCTGGAACCCACCGGCCCTGCACTAACACCGCTCCAAACCGCAGCCAGCCCTCAGGAGGCCACAGCTGATGTCTGTTCATCTCCCGGCGCAGCTCCCCAGCTGACGGGCATTGCCCCCCGCCTCCTGGGGCAGAACAGGAGGTGCTCTCAGCACCGAGCATCACCCGGCAGCTGCTGCACTCTGAGCACCGGGAATTTCAGTTTCACTGCAAAGGATGGAAGATGGCCAGCGCCGATTCCAGTGACTGCCACTGTGCTGAATTTCAGCTCCTACATTGAGCTTCCCACGTGCATTCGGACTCCTGAAAGCTGGTGTTAGACCTTCTCCTCGTCTCGGACAGAAATCCAAGTGTACAGCAAGCAGAAACAGAAGGAATGTCCGTCGCCCACCTTCCTTCCTTTCTTATGGTCACAAATCATACGGCTGAATTCACCTAATCAAGCTGTCTCAACAAAACCGAAGGGAAGCATCTCTGGAATAAAGCACGTACCTCCAGACTTGACTGTGTTCTCAGAAGGTAACAGGACGGCTGTTGATTTCCTCCCCCCCTTCCCCGATTTTCTTTTAATACACGTATCCACAGACGCACAATTTTATACTCCTGAATTATTCGTTTTTCTTTCACAAATTGTCACATAGCATCTTGCAAAATTTATTGCTGGGAATGTTGGCTGCAGTACTTGAGATCAAGTACTAAGATAACGTCAGGATCTTTCCACGTAAAGATTACCATGGGAAATAAAGTTATGAAAATACAAATTCTTGAATGCCTTTAATAAGGGACCTGTAACTGAAGACTCAGACCAGTAGATTAATCACTGCAAAGTTTCTAACTACAAAAGCTCAGAAAAAAAACTCTTACCAGTACTTTTAACAAAATAATGGTAACAAAGTATTCTGCACCAAAATGACACAAGTCTTAACATAGACACACTGGGCAACTGATTTTTTTCACAGTACATTTAACAGAAAATATGATTTTGTTTGCATAAGAAAAATTGACATGATTCTCTTTCTACAAATACAATACTAAAAAAAAAATAACTGATGTAAAGCATGGAAGAATATTCTTAAGTTCTTTGTGCACATACTTACCCCTTTTTTAACATATAATCTCGTAAAATCTTTACAAATCACAGATGACTTAGAAAATTAAGTTGACCAGGCCTTCTTCTGAGAAAAAACTCCAATAATATTAATGGGATTTCAGCCTACAGTGAAATGTTCTATACTGTCATGCAGTATCACACCACCTTCTAGCAGCCTTCCAGTGCTGAAAAGGGGCTACAGGAGGGATGGGGAGGCACTCCTGAGCAGGGACAGGATGAGTTTTAAGCCGAAAGAGGGGAGATCTAGATGGGACATAAGTAAGGATTTTTTTTCCTGTGCGGGGGGTGAGGCAGTGGCCCAGGTTGCCCAGAGCAGCTGTGGATGCCCCATCCCTGGAGGGGTTCAAGGCCAGGCTGGATGAGGCTTTAGGCAACCTGGGCTAGTGGGAGGTGTCCCTGCCCATGGCAGGGGGTGGGACTGGGTGGGCTCTGAGATCCCTTCCAGCCTGAAGCGTTCTGTGATTCTACGATACTGTGATTTCATGATTCTGTGATTCTATTATATCAATTCCCAGGGTGTCTCAGTCTATACTAGATTAGAAATTCTGAAGAGGATTTTGTCTACACAACATGGAAAAAATGGCAAATTCCTACGTACTGAACAGTGTTTCATTAGATGAAAAGAAGTGGCACTTGCAAAGGTAAACTGGAATAAGAAAAAATTATTTTTAAATTGTCTGTTAAACTTTACAGTGAGATAAAGCCTGATCAGTGCTCTCATTCCCTTGCACTCAACACAAAGCCTACTGCAACTTTTTTCCAAACCCTGAAAAATAAATTAATTCCAGGCTTTGACCAAAGAATTCATCAGGTAACTGGACAGCTAAAAAGAGCAGGGTTTTTACCTTACCTAAAAGCCTGTAGAGAAGGCTTTAAAAATTCATTAGAGATACACATTCTCTCTTTGCAATTCTCTACAAGTAAACGTCTACCAAAAGGTTACTTTGTCCAGTTCTATCTTACTCTCTACTAACACAAACAGGCTGGATAAAACTAACCATCTGGCTTTTAACACTGTGTTTGAAACAACTTTAGACCTTCTCTAAGCATAACTACAGAGATTATGAAAGACTTCCCCCCCTTCACAATTACCTTTTACTGTATATTTCAACTGGAATACCATTCAGTCTCAGACAGGGTGCGTGGAATGTAGATTAAAAGGCAATTTTAGGGCTTCTGTGAAGACAAAGAGGACTTCATCCTTCAGAGAACAAGTATTTTCCATGGCTAGTTTTATTCTCAATTACACCATAATCAAGCGTTGGCAATTACTGTCTTTAAAAACTACAAAAGCAGGATTTCAACCCAGCAACAAATGGAGGATCAACTCCATGTTCAGTTACAAGTCACGGTCCTACAGAGACCTCCTCTCTACAGAAAATTTAACTATACATACTAAAGGTATGCTTCATTTCAAATATCAGAGAAATTATGCCTAAGGGACTCATCAATAAATGAAGACACATACTTAGTGGAACCATAATTTTTGTTTTCACTGGTATCAATTACTATCAGAAGAAAAAGCTTGTTTCTCAGTATATAAAAGTGATGGCAAACGTGAACAGGAATAATTAAATACACGAGTGTGTGGCATTAAGTGCATGGCTTAATTAGGGTTTTGTTCATATTAATTTAAAGTGCTTTGTGTGATCCACCATCAAAACATGCTTGTGTAAAGACAGACGCTAGCACAGTTACTATCACAGGAACACAAAAAAATTAAGCATTCACACTCTTGCTTTGACTTGGATATTTTAAAAAAGCAAAGGCCCATATATTTAGATACAGATAAGAAATGTTTCTATATTTCTTATATACAACCAAAGAACATGTTACACTCAGATTACTAGAACCAGCCTGTTCCGGTACAGTTTACAAAGCGACAAAGCCCACAGTAAAGCTGTTGCTTTACTTTCATAATGTAAACATCTCAAAGAAGAATATGCTAACAGTTTCAGAGATGAGATGACTCAAAGCAACAGGGCCTATCAACCTTCTTTCTCTACAAGGCTCAGCTCACAAGCTCAGGCTGTACATTTATTCGCCGAAGGACATCTTCTGGCATACAAAAGACAGGATTGACAGCCTTAATTTGTTCTTCTCCTAATAAAGATAGTCCAGCAATTCCAAATAAGGTGTGAAAGGGATCCACCTGGGAGAAGAAAGAAAGTTTGTGTCAGTTTCCAAAAGTCGATCAGCTTTTCATTTGTATAGAATGAATTTTTTGTTTGCTAGCACGAGAACCTCAAATCTCCACGACACAGCAAGACCAACACAACTGAACACACTTTCATTTGTGCTGACATGTGTTGACAGGCAAGACAATTTCCACAGCATGCATTTACTATGATTTACTCAGAGCTGCTTGTCAGTTTTCTGCTGCTAAGATGATTTTCAACTCTGAATTTGGCAGGAAGCACTCACGTGTTTCCATTAGCATGCAATGTCATGGAGTTGCAGAACCAAAGATAATAAAAGTTTTAAAAGTAAATTTGATCATCAACAAGAACCACTTCCATAAATTCCCCATTTGCTCTTCAGCAACATTATAACGCTCTTTAATGGTCTCTGAGTACAGAGCTGTGCTGTAAAATCCTGAGAGGGGAGGAGCAACTTACTGTGCTAGAAAACCAAAATGAAAACCTACAAGGAAGAAAAAACCCAGAAGAGACAGGAGCAGTTATTTGGTGTTCAAGTATTCCTTCACTGAAGGAACCTATGAACCTTCCCTAAAAGCATGTATCACCACACAACTGCAGTAGACTGTGAAGTCTCATGACATAAGCATCCCACCAGTGGAGTCACTTAGGCATTCTACAAAATCCTGTCCCAAAGTACCTCTGCCGTCTAGGGCAGCATATATCCCATTTGCATCAGTGGAACTTCTGGATTTTATCGCAAAGGTTCTATGCTGCAGTAAACTGAGCTGAATTACCACGTAACAGCCACATACAGGATCTCCAACCATTGATTACAGCCTAGAAGGTTCAAACTACACCAGCATATAGGAGGTCTTGCTCCTCAGTGCTTTGGCAACCATGTTACAGGTGTAGTCAAAGCTCAGACATACATTTTGCTCCTTCCCAGAACGAGTATGTGGCCATTAGAGAAGTAAAATAAGTAGACAGCAAAATAATAACAATAATAAAACAACAACAACAACAAAGTACATTTTAGGAGTGGCAAGACAGAATTTCCTTGCACATATGGACAGGCCTGGAAGCAGAGATGGTCCCCAGTGGGAAATGTGCAAATGGAATTACAAATTCTGGATGATGGAGTTGAGTTACGCTCAAATGAGAAAACTTACGTTTTCCGTTGAAATTTTCAATTAAGTATATTTTATTTAGTAAAGAATTATTTACCATGTCTCCTGGTCTGTCAGCAAATCCTCCAGTCTCCTCATCTTGGCAAGCCAAAATAAAGCAGCGCAGTTTCTCTCTGTCAATCCAATGTAACCTACCAATCATCTTCAAAGATGCTAGCACCCACCACGAATAACACACATCAGGTAACTGGCAAGCAGAGAAACAGGTTATTATTTGATGTTGGTTTAAACATGACACTGCAAAAGTTATTGGTCATTCTGCAAATTACTAGGTGTGCTGTCGTAATACTGTTGCGGAGAAACAACTCTTAAGAGTTTCTTTGGTGTAAAAGAGAAGAAAGCTCCTGGATGCAGTCTCTTCACAAGACCTCCCTTTTTCCCGAAGGGCAAGTCCCTTTTTCAAACCTCTTCCCTTCTTCAAGAAACAGCCTTCACCTTCTGCAGGAGAGGCTAAAAAAAACACAGTGCCTTTTTCAGGAGTAAGTACAAAGAACTTCACATCAACTAGTTTCATTTTTTTGAAAAAACATTTGTTGGTTGGTTATCTATTTGCCAGTGGAGATTATTCTAGGTTACAACTTCCTAGTGTGACGTGGAACACTATTACACCCAGGATTTACACCCAGTAAACCAGCATTTTTTGTACAAATCCTACAGAAGAGATCTCTCCCAATGTCAGAAAAGATTTAAGCCCTGATTTAACAGGATACTGGTTCAAGTGATCAGGAAGACACACTTCAGTACATGTACTTTCCTAAACTGAGGACTCAAACCAAGCATAGCTAAGGACTGCCTGACAAGTCTTGGTGACAAAATGAAGAACACAAATTAAGGCCCGAGTGCTTTGAAAAGTTTACTAAATATTTCACAGAAGTAATTACATTTTCCATAAGTACTTCAGCTTTAGAAAAAATAATCTCTATTGAGGTTTGAACAAACAAAAAAAGCTACCTAATACCTTCTCTGGTCGTCCGTTGAGACCTCCAGAAGGTAACTGACGTTCACAAAGCCACCAACCCAGCAAGTCAACATTTATTCGATGCAACTGGTCTGTTATAGCCAGAAATCCTGTGCAACAATAGATCTAAAATTATAGACATAAATTTTTTGTGTATTTAAAAACTAAGTACACTTTAGCAGACTAAATGTAGGAAGATCTCAAAGCAGAAACACAGTCACACAAGCACAACACAAAATGAGCACACATTTCAACTTTTCATTTCAAATGAGTTTTACTCTCCCTTTAGAAAAGTATGTTATTGTTACAGCTGCTTTTGTATAGAAGTACTAGTTACACAATGTAACTACAGAACAGTAAGATTTTACTAATACAAGACATTAACACAAGGTTTGGAAAAAGATCCTAAAAGATCAGGCAGAGCCATACAGTTTGATTTTTAAAACACAGACTTTCAAGCCAGAGGACCCAAACTGACTTCTGCAGGCTGGATACGGCCTTTGTGACAATTCTGCATCCAGCCAATGGTTTGTTCCTGTATGTGCCGCTAACCCTAGGGCTTCTGGAGAGCAAACCAAAGACCAAATGAATTATCTAGCAGAAGCAGGCTAACCTTGATCATTAACTGTCCTGGGAATCCCACATGCATCTAGTCTTGTCAGGCTTACTTTCAATGTGCTTTGTAATATATGTGCATTGACTAATCCCTGTTAATTTTTTCACAGGAAATAACATGTACAGTGCAACAGCATACTCTGGTCACATTTCATGCGGTCACTAAGAAAGGAGACAAGCACAAACTGCAAGAAACCACAATATCAGCTGAAGCCTGCTATTAACTGCCTTTTCCTAATAAAATATACCCTCAGAAAGACAACAAAAAACCCACCAAAAGCACACATCAGCAGAGATGTGCCTATCCAAGAATAATGCAAAATAAATGTGATATTCACAGAAAACTTTTGCACTACAGTGCTGGTGAAGGAGTTGCCCTTTACAGCATTTTAAAGGGTAGGTGAATTATTATTAAAGAGTAGGTGAATATGCACAACAGACATAATCCTCTCAGGAAATGCCAGCTGCAAACAGTGTGGGTTCAGCTACTTAATCCGACCATATGGACAATGCAGAATCCCAGAAGGGTTTGGGTAGGAAGGGATCTTCAAGACCATCCAGTGCCACCCCCTGCCATGGGCAGGGACACCTCCCACTAGCCCAGGTTGCCCAAAGCCTCATCCAGCCTGGCCTTGAACCCCTCCAGGGATGGGGCATCCACAGCTGCTCTGGGCAACCTGGGCCACTGCCTCACCACCCGCACAGGGAAGAATTTCTTCCTTTTATCTGATTTACTCTTAAGATAAGTTACGTGTACCAGGTTTAAACAGGTGATGGCAACATCATTAAAATATTTTATTAAAAGTTGATTTCTGTTAATAAATTCAGCTTAAGTGCAATAATTCCTTCCATGAAAAAAAAAAATAGGAAAGGTCGTTTTAATGTGAATTTTCTCCTGGAAGAAGTCATTGAGATTCTCTTCCTTGTGAGATCCCTTAATTTGTGCCAATTGTACTACTGCATTCTCTTCTCACTTCTATTTTACTAAGCATTTTTCAGAATTCACTGTCACTAGTAAAAGACTCTTTAATGCCTACAACAAAACATGATAAATGTTCTCATGCCTGAGTTTGGTGTCTCATCTTAAAACTGACTTTCCAGAAAAAATTAAGCAAGCCTCTCCTTGAGAAGGTTCATGTCTCATTTTTGGGTTCATCTGCTGATAAATATCAAACATATGATACAACTGACCTTTATGTTTCATTACGATTTGTGGCAGACAGACCTTGTCCAATGTCTCCATTAATACCCAATTAAAATTCTCTAAAAATCCCCATGCTAACTATCGCAACATCACTATGTGAAAACTGAAATACAGTCCTAAAAGTTGTTCCCTTACAATCTTTTTTTCTTTTGCCCAGACTATAACCTCCCAAGTCTCTACTCATCTTCTCAGATATATCTACCTATTTGTCCATTTATTTTAACTAAGGTACTAAAACCAGGCATTTGGGAAACAAGAAGAGCACATCAGTTGACACCACTGATGGATGTCACACAGAAACATTTATAGGCAGTACATGATGCCTGCTAATTTAAAACATTTCCATATAAAGAAAGACTCACCTGCCCTGCATGTGATTCGGAACCTGGTCTACAACCAAATCCTCCATCGAAGTTCATACAGGACAAAACGAATTCTACGGCTTTCCCCACATCAATAGCATCCAGCTTTCCCTGTGGGTCAGAAAAGCAGCTAATGCACTTCATATGCTACCATTAACTACAGAAACTCCAGCAGTACCAAAGAGAAGATTCCGTACTTGTGCAAGTAATGACTTAGGACTTACCAGAAGTGCAAGAGTTGCTGCAGCACAGAAGGAGAACCTTGTATCTATTTCTCCTGGGATGTGTGGCGTAGGGAATGAAATAAGGGTATTCTTATTAACAACAAAAATACATTTAAATCACCATTGAAAATATGGAACAAAATGTTAAAACACGAGGTTTACATTGAACAACAAAAATCAGCCAAAAACCACCCGTGTACTGTTTGCAGTCCATGGATTATTTCCTCAGTAATTTAGGTGTACATTGCAACTCCAGTAATCTGTATGTTTACTGCACATAAAAGCAAACAACTCATTTTGAGCTGGGGTATAGTCAGATATACACAGAAATCAATTCAACTAGTGGTAATTTACAACATAGAGAGTTTATCTGTAGTGCTCCACTAGATAATTGCAGCAAAGTGGACTCAAAAATACTCAGAGAAAACTCTTGATCTGCCTTAAAAATGGGCAGGAGGAGAAACCATTTTTGTTTTCAGAGGAAGACTGATGAAAGTTGCAAGTTTTCTTTTCAATACTTATACCAGGAAGCTAAACAGAAACCACTACACCTACAGCAGAACGATTGCTTGGCAAGTCCATACCAATATAATTCTCCTAGCCCAAACTCCAAGCAATTAATACTTGAAGTTAAAATTAAACCCAGCTGTAAACATTCATTTTTTTGGTCCAACTGATTCAAGACTTTTCTTCTTAAGAAATCCACAAGCTGAAACACACAAAACAAACATGTGCTGCTCTGTACTACATCAGTTGTCACACTCCTTCAGCTGCACTGCAACTGCCCTTCAGAAATAACATTAGCCCATTGTGCATCCAGTAAGTTTGTCTCAAAACTTTAACAAAAAGGATGCAGCGAACTCTGAACCCCTTCAACACACAGCTAACAGCTACCTTACAGTAGCACACACGTACCGCCACGAGCTCGATTGCTGAATTTTACCAGAACAATAACATCAATGATATGCAATATATTTTATTAAAATTTAAGGGTTCCATGGGGTAAGTATTTTTAAAGTGACTAAATATTTATGCTACAGCTTAAAAATACCATATTTGTCCATGAAGAATTTATGGACAAAAACAAAATCAGTATTAACAGAAGCTCATGAGTACAAAACCAGTTTTTCTCATTCCCATATAGTGAAAGATCCTTTCACAGCCGACATGGATACAGATCGTAACTGACCACCCTTAAACAGCAAGCATAAAACATTTCTTAAAGAATAGCATAGCTACTGTGTTAAAGTACTGTAAAGCTACAAACACCCAAAGATTTGCTTCTTTAAGAGCTGGACAATTTATTTTTAACACAAGGATGGAACTGAAGTTTAGAATATTTTATAAAAGGAATGAAACACAACTCTGTCTTTCACAAAACTTCCTTTTTCATAACTCAAAGTGCTCGCACACAACACGTAAACAAAAAGAGCACCTAATGAAAATGCAGTTCACAGACTTATGCATGTCAACCTCGTCACTAAATTTTAAAGATCTAAAAATTACCCCATGTGTCTCCAGCAAATGATCCATCTTCTTTTTGCAAGTTCTGTATATATTCAACAATTTTATTTACATCAACAACATGGAGACTATCATATAAGATAAGAATCTGGAAAAAAAAGAGACACAGTAACAATCAAAGAGAGGCAAAAATGTTAAAAATTTATTTACTAAAAAAAAATGCTAGATTTAATTGACTGTGAATACTATTTAGTAAGGTTTATTAAAAGAAAATTTCATTCACTGCAGTTCATCTATCTGTGTCTAAAAACTTTAGAAAATTCTCAAAGGAAAATAGATGCAATTCAAGCCGAACTGTTTCCTGCTTTGTTACTTTCCAACTTCCAGCTCTCCTTTCAAAAGCACCATTAAGTTTATTGGGTTTTATGTTAGCATTATGTAGAACAGAGATTTGATTATGGTTAGTTTTGTAATGGCATTATGACATCACAGACTTACAAACTGGTAGTCTGTGTGCTGCTGCTACTTAGATATGTGCACGTGTACGTTAAGCAGACAGTTACTAATGTCACTTAGGGTCTGAGCCTGTCAGCAATGATTACTTTCAAATTATAAGATCTTTATTTACATTCCATTGTTAAATACAACGAGTAGTAACACATTGCAATAATTTAAGCAAAAGTATGAACAATGTGTACAGTCAATATATTCTGGAGGAAAAATAAAGGTTGTAGCAGGGAATACAAAGTTTTCTGAGCTAGCACTGAGTTGAACCAGCAAGCCCGTCCCACACAACGTCACGTGAAAACAACAACACTGTTTCTGAGCCCCAGCTGCCTTTGTATTTTACTCATAACTTGCCTAATCTGTAAAGAGAGTAATTAAGAATTTATTATAAACTGCATAATGGAAATAAAAGTTGAAATTAACCAATATTATAGTGCCAACCATGAAAAATACCAACTACGACCTTGAACACCTAGAGTTAGCTGGAATCTTCCAATTGTTAGATTAAATCTAAGTCTTAGGGAAATGCAAGAATGTACAACTCCAACAGAAAATGTACAATCATAGTATGCTCCTTAAAAATCAAATCTGAACAAACTACTATTATACATTACATAAATATGTAGTCTATATAAATATTACATAATTATTTATTAATGTTATAATAATACCAATCATAATATACAGTAATAGAGACATTAAAAAATAAAACCCAAAACTTTAGTCCTATTCAGGTCAAACATATCTTTCACCTCAATGTACACTAAGAAGAATTCACAAAATCCAAAATTATTGACAAAAAACTCCAGCAAAACCAGTAGCTAAGACGTACTTCAAGGCCAGGCTGGATGAGGCTTTGAGCAACCTGGGCTAGTGGGAGGCGTCCCCGCCCACTGGTGGGAGGTGTCCCTGCCCATGGCAGGGGGTGGGACTGGATGGGCTTTAAGGTCCCTTCCAACGCAAACCTTTCTATGATTCTATGAAGACTGTTAGAAAATTTATAAGAATGTAGTCACCATTAAATGATCATAAAAAGCACAATTTTCCCAAATCTGTCAATTTTTTAGGAAATTATAGAGCTAAATCCTGAAGCTTTTTCCAGTAGATTTTTTTTAATAAGGTCCTAAAATAGTTTTTGCCACTGGTGTCCAACAGTACCTGGTTCATAAATCCACAATCATGAAAATCATTAATTACTTTTTTTTTTTTCCCAAAAAAAATTACCCTGTTACATTTACCTGGACAGCACTGAGGGTATACAGAAGATGAGGATCGTGACCTATGCTGGCACTTATTCCACCACATTCGTGCTGACATGATTTGATGAATGCCAGGATTTCTTCTTTGTTCATTCGGTGCAGCTGCCCCATGAGGTCCATTGCTGTCAGCCCCCAGTAAACACCACTCATCCTCAGATACTCTGACATACAGTATTCCTAAGGAGTGCATTATTTTAGTTCTTAATCAGAGAAGCACATCACCAACACAGAGCAACAAAAACACATCAGTGAACGTTTACAAACAGTCTGTGAGACATCAACCACCTTCCATCCCACTAACAACCTCCTACATACCAGCCACTCACCAACATTCTGCGCATCAGCATCTGCGTATACACACGCACACCTATGTATCTACACGTACCACATTCACTCCCTCCCCTGTATCTTCTAGTTCAACTTATCAAGCCAGATGTCAAATGAAACACATACAAGTACTGAGGCACCGATTCACGCCAGATCACCTGTTCTTATCTTGGCACCCAAGCTACCACTCAAATTACCACACCAACCAGTCTAACATTTAATGAATCTTGCTTCCAAGTGCCAAAACCGCCACAATCTAAACTTG